TGGCAAGACGACACTCAGAGGACAAAAATGGTCGGAGGTGGCCTGGTCAGGGGAAGCAGGCGAGTGGGGCCAGTGGGGCTGGAGCTATTTCACAATGGAGTCTTCTCTGTTCTTTGTTAAGATGTGTTTATTTTTATTGGAAAGGCAGATTTACAGAGATAAGGAGAGACATAGAGAAAGATCTTCCGTCTGCTGGTTCACTTCCAGATGGCCACAATGGCTGGAATTGAGCTGATCTGAAGCCAGGAGATGCTTCCAGGTCTTTCATGTGGGTGCAGGGGCCCAGGAACTTGGGCCATCCTCTGCTGCTTTCCCAGGCCACAGACAGGTAGCTGGACAGGAAGTGGAGCAGCCAGGATACAAATCATGCTTATATGGGACACTGGTGCTTGTGGGTGGAGGATTAGCCAATCAGGCTATCACACTGGTCCCAAGGGGCCTTCCTTCGTTTCTTCCTTCATCCAGGTGTCTCCCTGCTGTGGAGCACGCTTTTTACTTCAAGTAGTTACGATGTGCCAGAGCTGGGGGTGGAGGACTCCCAGGGCCTCTGGAGCCCAAAGGCAGGGCTTTCTGCAGGCCACAGAATCCAATGGCTGAAGCAGATCAGGGCTTGGGGAGGGGTGGAGAGCTCTGGAGCCAGCCCGTCTTCCTTCCTCCTCCTCCCCAAAAGGCTAAGGCTGGGAGCACGGCACTGTGGCCAACCTGAGCATCACCCTTACACAGGCGCCAGGAGGACGCAAAGGAGGGGAAAGACCCACTTTGGCAGGCAGCCGGAGCCATTTTATTGGGGTCTAGAGGAAGTGTGGGAAGGGCTGGGGAGCACACGCCTGTGTCCAGGTGAAGCTTAGGCACACATGTGCGTTCCCTGTAGGGTGTACTGGGTATCTACGGATGGCCTGGAGGAGCTGTCCCCACACGTGCATGTGTGCAGTGCAGGCATATGTGGATGCATCCGTGGATGGGCATGGAGCATATCTGTGCTTCCTGGGTATCATGTCAGGCATGTGCGTGGGGGAAGGCACTGCAGTCTGTGTGGCTGGTTACTCCCCAGCCCCAGAGAGCTCCAGAGAGGGGCAGGCAGGAAGGGGCTGCCTCAGGAGGAGGAACCCTGGGCCCGCCTACCCTGCACAGGCCAGCCTTCCACCGTGCAACGTGGCAGCTCACACACAGGGCAGCCCTGTTGGACAGCAAGGCCTGTGCTGGGCGGGAGAGGCTGAGATTGTAGCAATCGCATTTCCCTGACTCATCGCCTGGGCTGGGAGCCCGCACTCAGCTTTTGGGCAGCATCTCCAAGAAGAGCCGCCTGGAGCGTCCCGCCCCGCCCACCATGCCTTGGAGGCCCCAGTTGTGTCCCACGTGGGAAGGACCAGAAGGCTCAACTGTCTTCCCAGTAATGATTCCTGAAGTGAGATCCACGAGGATGCCCAGCGATGTCCAGATGCCCTGAAATCTCACTTTCTCTGCCCTATGTGCCTGCCTGTCTCCCTCAGTCAGAGGCGGTGTTGGTGGGACCTAGAGGGCAGGCTCCAGCCCAGCTCCAACTCAGGTTTGCTGTGTGACCTCAGGTCCATGCTGCCCTTCTCTGGGCCTCATTTTTCTCTCTGGAGTGCGACTGCAACTGGAATCTGTGGCATCAGGCTTCCTGCCGCCCATTCCTCTTGGGAGTTATGGGGCTTCCAGTTGGGCACCCACTGTGTCTGCAGACAGCCAAGGTTGTGGGAGACCCAGACTGCCATCACCATGTTCCCCCATCCCCCTCTTTTAAGAGACCTGCTTTTTCCAGAAACTCAAGAGCTAGAATGTGGGGGAAGGGCCACTTCCAGGACTGGGCTCAGAGCTAAGAATAATGTGGCAAAGGCTCTTGACATTTTTTCGCTGATCCTGGGAATTTAAAGGAGCCGTTGCCTTTTTCTCCTTGGGCAGGTCACATTTGCAGCGCTGCTGTTCAGAGTCAGCCACTCCCCCAGGCCTGACTGGCTGGCCGCCCCTTCTGTGACATGCCCAGTCCGGTGGATCCAGGGACATAGAGCAGCAGAAGGGAAAGGGGAAGGCCCTGCCCTTGCTAAACTCTGACAATGAGGGGAGGAGGCTTCAGGCCCCATCTTAGCCCTTTAAGGGTTTACTGAGGCTGGCAGGGGGTTTCCAGACCTAGACAAGCTAGAGGTGTGGAATAGGCTCTGGAACCTTGGACACCGAGGACTGAGGTTTTTTTTTTAAGGTCTTCCATTCACTGGTTCACTTTCCTTTCTTTTTTTTTAAAGATTTATTTTTGAATTTTTATTGGAAAGGCGGATATACAAAGAGGAGAGACAGAGAGGAAGATCTTCCATCTGATGATTCACTCCCCAAATGAGCGCAATGGCCGATGCTATACCAATCCGAAGCCCAAAGCTTTGGGCCGTCCTCAACTGCTTTCCCGGGCCACAAGCAGGGAGCTGGATGGGAAGTGGAGCCGCCGGGATTAGAACCGGCACCCATATGGCATCCTGGGCGTGCAAGGCGAGGACTTTAACCACTTGCGCCACCGCGCCGGGCCCAGCTGGTTCACTTTCCAAATGGCCATAATAGCTGGAGCTGAGCCAATCTGAGACCTGGAGCCAGGAGCTTCATCTGGGTATTCCACGCGAGTGCAAGGAGGTGCAGGGAGATACAAGATGGCCCATAAGATTATGGGTCATCCTCTACTGCTTTCCCAGGCTGCAAACAGGGAGCTGGGAAGTGGGCAGCTAGGACATGAACTGGCACCCATATGGGATTCTGGCGCTTGCAAGGTGAGGATTTAACCATTGAACCATCATGCCGGGACCAACTGAGCCTTGAAACACATCGTTGAGGCAGGAGAACACACACAGAATCAAGACAGACATAGCACCCCAAAGAGTTGGACAGAACCTCTGTCATAGCAGGCTGCAGTGCCATATGGGTACTGGTTTGAGTCCTAGCTGCTGCTTGTATTGTTTTTTAAAAATTTATTTATTTTTATTAAAAAGTCAGATATACAGAGAGGAGAGACAGAGAGGAAGATCTTCTTAGCTGATCTGAAGCCAGGAGCCCAGAGCCTCTTTCGGATCTCCCATGTGAGTGCAGGGTCCCAAGGCTTTGGGCCATCCTCAGTTGCTTTCTTAGGCCACAAGCAGGGAGTTGGACAGGAAGCAGGGCTGCTGGGATTATAACCAGCACCCATATGGGATCCCAGCATGTTCAAGGTGAGGACTTCAGCCACTGGGCTACTTGTTGGGCCCAGCTGCTTCATTTTTGATCTTGCTTCCTGCTAATGCTCCTGGGAAAGCAGTTAAAGATGACCCAAGTGTTTGGGGTCCCTGACACTCCCATAGGAGACCCAGAAGCTGCTCCTGGATTTGAGTTGGCTCAGCTCTGGTTGTTATGGTCATTTGGGGAGTGAACTAGTTGATGGAAGGTCTCTCCCTGTCTCTCTGTAACTCTGCCTTTCAAAAGAAAAATGTATTAAAAAAATACAGAAGATGGTGAACAATTTCTTGGCTGATTGGATGAACAGGGAAGGTGAGGGTGAGGTGTCCCAGCTGCCCCTGCTGTCCCTCACTAACACACATACTCTCAGAGCCAGCATCCCTGAGGGCGGGCCTTTGGTCCAGTTAGCACCAGGAACAGTAATGAATACCCGGCTTACGGGGTTACTGGGGCGGGAGGGTGGAGTCGCAGAAGTTGATAGTGAAACCTGGACCCAGATAGGGAGGGGGTCAGAGATGGCCAAAGAGAGGGGGAGAGACAAGAAAGCAAGGACTGACTTAGCATCACCTTTCTTTTTCTTTTTTCTCCCTTTAAGATTGTTTTCCTTATTTATTTATATTGGAAAGGCATATTTATAGGGAGAAGGAGAGACAGAAAGATCTCCCATCTGCTGGCTCACTTGCCAAGTGGTTTCAGTGGCCGGAACTGAGCCAGTCTGAAGCTGAGAGGCATGAATTTCTTCCGGGTCTCCCAAGAGGGTGCAAGGTGCCAAAGACCTGGGCCGTCTTCTGCTGCTTTCCCAGGCCACAAGCAGGGAGCTGGATGGGAAGTGGAGCAACCAGGATACGAACTGGTGCCCATATAGGTTTAGCCACTGAGCCATTGTGCCAGACCCTAAGATTATTTTTAAAAAATCAGAGTGGAGGATAACCCAAAGTCTTAGGACCCTGCACCTGCGTGGGAGACCTGGAAGAAACTCCTGGCTCCTGGCTTCACACTGGCTCAGCCCTGGCAGTTGCAGCCACTTGGGAAGTTAACCAGTGGGTGGAAGATGTTTGTCTCTGTACCTCCTTCTCTCTTTTATGGCCTTTGCAATAAAAATAAGTAAATCTTAAAAAGCAAGCAAGCAAACAAACAAAAAAACCAGAGAGAGAGAGAGAGAGAGTGAGCCTCCATCTGCTGGTTCATGCCCTAAATGGCCACAACAGCCAGAGCTGGACTGGGCCAAAGACAGGAGCCAGGAGCTTCATCCAGGTCTTCCCACGTGTAACCATGGCCCAAGAATCTTTTCCTAGGCACAGCAGCAAGGAGCTGGATCCTGGTGGCAGCTGGCGCAATCAGGATCCCACCAGGTGCCCATATGGAATTTCACAGCCAGGGTGTAACTGAAGCCCAGGAAGGGCAAACAATTTGTTTAGGGCCCTGTAGTCCACCACTGGAGAGCTAGGGGTCTCTCTTCCTGCTCCCCTTTCCAAGCCCACCCTCCAGGCTGGGGTGGGGACTGTCTCCACTGCAAGAAGTGGGGCTCCCAGGGGAGCAGGTCAAGGACTGGGCATGCACAGACCCTTCTCCCTCTCTGGGTGAGCATGGAGGTTGGAATTCTCTGAGTTTTAGGGTGAAGCCCGGATGGATAAGGGATCCTGTCCGAAGGGGGGGAGACGAATGAGAGAACAGGTCCTTGGGGGTTCCCAGGCTTTGTGGATGCCCTGGTCCCCCTGCGGCCCTGCAGTGAGGGATGAGGGGGGCAGTAGGACCCAGGGTCGGAGGGGCGGGAGCCGGGGAAGTTTGGAGGAGGTCTTTGAATTTTTTTTTTCTTTTTGGCGGAGCGGGGCGCCCTCCGGAAGCATTTCCAACTTTCCAGAAGTTTCTCGGGACGGGCGGGAGGGGGAGGGGAACACCATAAATAGGCCGGGGCGCCGAGGGGCGGGCGGAGAGCAGGCTCGACCGCGGCGCAGCGATCGCGCTCCAGTCCGTGCGCTCCAACCCGCCAGGTGAGCGGCGGGGCAGGAGGGTGGCAGGTATGGTCGGGGGTCCGGGGAGCCGGCGAGGGCGCGAGCCTGCGGGCCAGGGCGGAGCGCACAGGATGCGGAGAGAAGTGCGGGGCGGAGGTCGTGTGGCTGCCGGGAGGGTCAGGCGGCCAGGGAACTGGGCCTGGGGGTGTAGCGGGGATGAGGGACCGGCCAGCGGCGCCTGCAGCCTTGGAGTGAGCCTGAGAGGACAGCGTGGGCTTGGCTTTTCCTTGGATCGTGGGTGTGGGGGCTCTCTAGTCTCTGAGGGTAGTAGCTAAAAGCAGGGCCTCGGCCCCCGCCAGCCTCTTCTCGACCTGGTAACCAAAGGGGGTACAGAGGCCGACAACAAATGTTGGAGAGTCCACCCTGCTCTGTCCACTGTCGCCAGGACCTGCAGGCTTCAGGCATTAACGGGACTCCCTGCCCCCAGCTTTGGACATTCCAAAGGCGGCTAGGGAGGAGGAAGAGGAGGAGGTAGAAGAGGAGGAGGAGGAGGGGGTGCCGACGGCGCTTCCAGCCTGGCCGGCTGCCCAGCCGCTCCTCTTCCCCGGTTTCCTGCGGGTCCTTCTGAGCTGCAGGGCCCGGATGGAGGCCTGGGGTGGAAGGCAGGGGGCCTCTCGCACAGGACAGGGGGACACACCCTCCGGTGCTCAGGGACCCCATCCTCCCCTTCCTGCCCCCTCTTTGTCTCTGGACTGCGGGGATTCCCAGCAGAGCTGTCCTTGCTGCCCTGTGTAACTGGACACCACACAGGCTGCACTCTGTGCCTGGAGCTACGCGACTGACTTTCGCTCATCCTCACCCGGCTCCCCTCCTCCACCTCAGGCCCATGGCGACCTGGGACGGTGCCCTACCCTGGTCCTGGCTTTTCCCACTGCTCAGAGAGGTGGCCAGGTCCCTGAGCTTGGGGTCTCGTTGTGTCCCCTTGGCAGGGGGCTGGGCCTGCCGGGATCCCATCTGCTTCCTTCTTCTCTTTTCTTTCAGAATGAAAAAGGCAGGCCCTGACCTCCCTCTGGGGCAATTTCAAGGTATTTTAGATCGTCAAAGTGTTTGAGACTTTCTGGGGGTCTTCCCCAGCTTCTCCCCTTTCCCTCTACAGCCAGTGCACAGAATTCTGGGGGCTCGCGGGCTGGGCTGGGCTGGGCTGGGCTGGGGAGGCTGACTTGCAGTGACTTGCCTTCCTCCTTGCCAGCTCTGCTGCTGTGGAACAGGGCAGCCCTTGTCCCAGCCATGCGACTCCCTTCTGCAGGGAGGCCCCTGTGCAGATGACAGGCTAGGACGGCGGGGGACCTCCTGCCTCCTTGGCTAGAAGCCCCCCTCTGCCGGCCAAGGGAGATAACTCAGCCAGCTGCTTGCCACGTCACCATCCCCCATCACTGCAGAACTTGAGCTGCTGCGTGGCTGCGTGGCGGCCCCAGCCCCAGGAATCCCAAACCGGTCATTTGGAGCTTTCTTGAGAAGCCCCTCCCAGCCTTTGAGGTTGTGATTGGCTGGGGGTGGGGGCTTCCGCTCCAGTGGATCCTGCCACGTGGCAGGGCTGGAAGCTAGGCTTCTGGGCCGCCCTCTGAGAGGGGATGCTGGTGGGATGGATGAGTGGGGTGGCCCCGTGCCTGTTGTCCTGGCACAATCTCCAGTAACTGCTCCCCTTTTTCTGCTTGTCCGGGGCAGTAAGTGATCCGTTTTTGAGGGAAGTAGCCTCGGGCCTGGTATGGGTCCTGAGTTGGTCCCTGTGTTCTGGACCCCTGCAGATTTCAGCGCGGGAGCAGGGGCAGGTCTCCCTTCCCTCACTTCTCTCCCCCTGGATCTCCACTGCATCCTCAGGCCCCAAGAACAGTGGTAGTCTCCCAGATGGGAGCAGGTGGGGCAGAACTGCCTAGGCTTGGTGGATGGCAGTGATAGAATTTTCGAGAAACCCATGCTGGCCCGAGTCTCAAAGGCCTCTCTGCAGCACCGCATGCTTTTTCCAGAATGGCATCAGTCGGGGCAGTGGGGTCCCAGCCCCCACTCCAGGTTCCTCAGGATGTTCTGGCTTTTCCTCCTGCCTGTTGTATGAAGCAGACGGGAAATGATCTACAACCCAGAGAGCCCATTCAGGGAGACTGTCCTCACTGGAGGCCCCACAGGGGGTGGGGCTTGGCCTGGGGGCTATCACGGGGAGCTTGGGGAAGGCCAGCCCTGAAGGCTTGTTGGCTGGGGGTGGGCAGAGTGGGACTTCCCAGGGCAGATGAAGCGGCTGTGGATGCTGAGCCTTGATGCACCCGCTTCCCCAGGGTCCTGTTTTGGCTGCTTTCTCAGGAAGCACTTCCTCCCATCCCCCAAGTTCCCAAGGATCTGGCCTAGGGATTTCCCCTTTGGTCCAGCCACTGGGGGCAGCTGCGCAGGCAAGTCTTGGTCAGGGTAGAGGCCTGAGACCCTTGCTGGGTGGATGAGGGAGCCTGAGGCTGGGTACACACACACACACACACACACACACACACACACACACACACACACACACACGTTCTCTGTCCTCTGGGGCAGCAGAGGACAGCATCTGGGCTCTCAGTTTTAATGAGTGAACTGGCCAGTGACTCATTAACATCCCACAGAGGAATGAACGGCATGTACCTGGGCGGGGCCATCCTTTGTCCAGACACACTCCCCTCCCCCCTTGGGAGGGGGGCTTCCTGCAGACCCCAGGCTAGCTGGGCTCCTCCTCACTGACCAGAGCCTTCAGGATTGAATGACAAGCAGAGCTGACCTGTGGCATCCCTGGCCTAGCCAAGGGGTCATCCTGTTTCACTTTACTGCAGGAATAGTCTTGTCAGGTGTGGGTGGCCCTGTGGGACATTGAGGTGAGGCCACAGCGCCCATACGTGCAGAGAGACACAGTAGTCAGTATGAGTCGTGAGTCTCTGAAGTGCCCGAGTCAGGACCCTGGATGCTCTTGCTCCCATCCTTGGTAATCCCCAGGGTCCAGGCTGGGGATGGCTGGCGGTTGGGGAAGGATGGGTACAGGGCTTCAGGGTGCTCTCTCTGCATTCGTCACAGGTCCCCCGCTGTGCACACAGCCCACCTCCCAGCCATGCGTTACATTCAGCTCCTCTCTGCCCTCTGCCTCCTGGCTGTGGCCCTGGCGGCCGAAGTGAAGAAACCCGGGGCAGCAGCTCCCGGCTCCACAGAGAAGCTAAGCCCTAAGGCCACCACGCTGGCAGAGCGCAGTGCCAACCTGGCCTTCAGCCTGTACCAGGCCATGGCCAAAGATCAGGCGGTGGAGAACATCCTGCTGTCGCCCGTGGTGGTGGCCTCGTCGCTGGGGCTTGTGTCACTGGGCGGTAAGGCAGCCACCGCGTCCCAAGCCAAGGCGGTGCTGAGTGCCGAGCAGCTGCGTGACGAAGAGGTGCACGCGGGCCTGGGTGAGCTGCTGCGCTCGCTGAGCAACAACACGGCGCGCAACGTGACCTGGAAGCTGGGCAGCCGCCTCTATGGGCCCAGCTCGGTGAGCTTTGCCGATGACTTCGTGCGCAGCAGCAAGCAGCACTACAACTGTGAGCACTCCAAGATCAACTTCCGCGACAAGCGCAGCGCCCTGCAGTCCATCAACGAGTGGGCGGCGCAGACCACCGACGGCAAACTGCCAGAGGTCACCAAGGATGTGGAGCACACGGACGGTGCCCTGATCGTCAACGCCATGTTCTTCAAGCGTGAGTCCGGGGAATGGGGTGGGACCGCAGGGCAGCCCCTGTCCTTGAGCATGATGGCTGGCTTCCCTTAAAGTCCTGGAGACAACCTGCAGAGACAGAGGTAGTTCCAAGCCTGTTCCACCCACCGGAAGATACGTGCAGAGAAGGTGTGGCCATATAGCCTGGCACTGCTACCAAACCCTCTCCATTCACCAGAAGCTAAACTTGGAGGGAGTGTGGCTACACTCTTAAAGAAAAGGCACAGGAGCCCACCCTCTAATGGAGGAAGACGGGCAGGTGCACTTCTGTACTCAGTCAAATCAAAGCATCAGTGTTAAGTGTCTTGGAATCAATGAAATTCCCTGAGTGAGCTTGGGAAAGGGCCAGCTTAAAGAATGCCTGGGAGCGGGTACAGGTGAGGATGCTGGGGGGCCCCGTCCCAGGAGGAGCAGGGCCAGAACTCTGGCCCACGCACCTACCTTGAAGATTAGATCTGGGGGTCCTGAGTCAGTCTTGCTACCCTTCCATGTAGGGAGTGCTGACACTGTTTGATCCCTGTGGCCAAGCTGGTCTCCTACCCAGTCAGTGTTGATTTAGGTTCCAGCAGAGGTCTGGCAGTGACCAAGGGCAGGGCACAGGCTGCTGTCACTGGGGCACAGTTGGGGGGTGACTGTGGGCTGTGACTGTGCCTGGGGCAGGGCATGTCTCTAACTGTGATCTGCCCCCTCCACAGCACACTGGGACGAGAAATTCCACCACAAGATGGTGGACAATCGCGGCTTCATGGTGACACGTTCCTACACAGTGGGTGTCACGATGATGCACCGGACAGGTAAGTGCTTTGGGGAGCAGGGTAAGGGGCAGTTCCCAGGGTGCCTGGGGCGTGGCCTGTCCTGCCTGATGTGTACCCAGTGTCCTTTGCTGTCCTCTCCCAGGCCTGTACAACTACTATGACGACGAGAAAGAGAAGCTGCAGATGGTGGAGATGCCCTTGGCTCACAAGCTGTCCAGCCTCATCATCCTCATGCCCCACCACGTGGAACCCCTTGAGCGCCTTGAGAAGCTGCTGACCAAAGAGCAGCTGAAGATCTGGATGGGGAAGATGCAGAAGAAGGCAGTGGCCATCTCCCTGCCCAAGGGGGTGGTGGAGGTGACCCATGACCTGCAGGTAAGGGCTGGCCCGGCTCAGGGGCCTGCAGGGGTACCCACTGTTTAGTTTGGCAGGTGTGTTCTGAGCACCCTCTGCCTCCTGGGCAAGTCCAGGTGGTGCTGAACTGTGCTGGGCGGGGGAAGCAGGAGAAAGGGGTCCTGTCCCTGGGAAGGGGACACCAGCAGCCTGATGTCACCATGCATTTGGTCAGGCGTTCCTTTCAGCACTTTATGCAAGTTAGACCCTCAGTCCTCAGAGTGACTTTGTAGGTAGACCTGTGAACTTTGTCTCACAGCCCTTGACTTACTGGACTGCCTCTGGGAGTCTGAAATGCCCCCAGTAACAGATGGTCCAAGATGGAGTGTTACACACTGGGCGGTGAGCACGTTATTGGCGGCAGGTCCCTAGGGAAGGCCAGGAGGTCTGCACGCGTGCTCAAAACTTCCCTAGGCACAAACAAGTGGTGGCAGGCAGAGGCTGGGAGAGAAGCAGAGTCAGGGGTCCCCCTGGCTCCTGAGACTTTGCGGTGGAGCCCCAGGTGGCCTTCGAGTGTCCAGAGAAAGAGACACATGTTTGAGCTGCTCCAAAGAGGAGCTTCCACCTTGCTCTGCCTTGGATGCCAGAAATGGGTCCCTCTCTGGCAGCTCCTCGCCCACTGATGGTGAGCATTTGCTGTTGAGAGGACTTAGAGAGATGGAAGGAGGTGGGGTTTAGCTGCAAGCCGGAGACTGGTCTAGGCTCTGGACACAGAACTTAAGGGAGGAGCCTCCGTCTCCTGGCCGGGTCTGGTTCCAACTCCGGACTCACCACCCCTGCCATTCTCTCCTGTGCTTTGCTAGAACCCTTGGCAAAGACACCATCTGCCAGTTTGTGGAATACATGGAGCTTTGTGTCAGTTGTCAGGATGGGAACAGCTGGGCCCACTTATGTATGCCTGTCTCGGGTCTTCCCTACACCTTACATCTGTCTGGTTGTGCTAGTGTGGCAGGGAAACCTGTGGAGGCCCTAGGGGCGAGACTAGACACTGATAGAATGAAGTCCAGAGGTGCTGAGGCCAGGCATGGCATCACCCTGTGCAGCACATGGCTTCTGCTGTCAGAGACCCACAGCCAGGGCTTTCTTAGTCATACTGTGCTCTGATCTGAAGCAAGGTGCAGATGTCAGATCGTACTGGATAAGGTTTTTTAATGTAGCTTTAAAATTTACTGAAAGGCAGAGAGAGGGACTGGCACCATGGCTCAACAGGTTAATCCTTCACTTTCAAGCACCTCATTCCCGGTAGGTACCGGTTTGTGTCCTGGCTGCTCCACTTCCTATCCAGTTCCCTGCTTGTGACCTGGGAAAACAATAGAGGAAGGCCCAAGTCCTTGCACCCTGTATTCACATGGGAGATCTGGAATAAACTTTTGGCTCCTGGCTTCAGTTTGAATTAATTCTGGCCATTGTGACCAATTGGGGAATGAACCAGAGGTGGAAGATCTTTGTCACTCCTTTTCTCTGTAAATCTGCCTTTCCAACAAAAGTAAATAAACCTTCAAAAAAAAAAAAAAGCAGAGAAAGAGGAGAAATATGCCATCCACTAGTTTATTCCTCAAATGCCTCCAACAGCCAGGACTGAGCCCCAGCACAGCCAGGAGCCTGGAACTTCAACTGGGTCTCCAGGCAGGGTTTGAAGTCCTCGAACATAGCTGTCTTTGGGTCCGCCCTTCTCGAACTCGAGAGTGCCAAGAGTTGTCTGGGGAGTGTTTAGTTAGCAAGGCTACCAGCTCACCCTGGATATCTGACCCTCGTTAGCTAGGTTCCTGGCAGGCATTAGGAATCCGGCATTTCCACTAAGCCTCAGGAAATACCCACTGCCTGGCCTGGAAGTGTGTGGGGATATTTCAGTCAAGGTCATTGGACAGTGCTGGAGATAAACACCAGCTTTGTCTGAATCTCAGGTCTCTTCCATGCATTGGCCGTGGAACACCTCCCTCATAGGGCTCTGGTGGGGATTAGGAAGGCAGGTACGAGGGGCCCAGCACTGGACCTGGCAGGTGCTGGGTGGCAGGGAGGGGGTCATTGTTTCTGGGGCGAGACGCTGGCAGGCACAGCCTCACCTGCCTCCTGTGGTCCCTCAGAAACACCTGGCTGGGCTGGGCCTGACCGAAGCCATCGACAAGAACAAGGCTGACTTGTCGCGCATGTCGGGCAAGAAGGATCTGTACCTGGCCAGCGTATTCCACGCCACCGCCTTCGAGTGGGACACGGATGGCAACCCTTTCGACCAGGACATCTATGGACGCGAGGAGCTGCGTACCCCCAAGCTGTTCTACGCTGACCACCCCTTCATCTTTCTGGTGCGCGACACCCAGAGTGGCTCGCTGCTGTTCATCGGGCGTCTGGTCCGGCCCAAGGGTGACAAGATGCGAGACGAGTTGTAGGGCCCCACCTCCACCCCTAGGGTGGGTGCGGGATGGCAGGAGGCGGCCGTGGGCTCCTGAGACACATGGGTGCTACTGGGGGAGGGGTGGGGGAGGGAAGGTCCCAGCCTTGGGTAGGCTCTGCAGGGTGGGAATGGGGAAAGAGACCTCTCTGCCTGGGCGTGAGTCCCCAGAAGTCACAATGCAGAGCTGGAGGTGCCACAGCCTGTGGGGACCCGGGCCACAGCCCCCTTGCTCTGTCCCCTCAGCCCACCTCCCACTGGGCCCTTGCTGAGCCTGCCTTCATCAGTGTTGTTCCTATTTATGGCCAAGTGCCTTGTCACCTGTGAGGGAGGGGACCTCGTGCCTGCGGGCAGTCCGGCTGCTGCTCCTGACACTGCCACCACCTCTGTCCCCTCCCTGGCTCTTCTCCCAGCTAAACAGTAGGTGCTGCAGCTGCTGGGGCCAGGTGCCCCCCATCACCTCCCATCTGAATGGCCCCTGTGAGGAGGGGGAAGGGATGGGGACCAAGCTCACAAGAGAACCCCCCCCCCGGGCAGACTTGGGTTTAATTGGGCTTCATGGGGATGAACTTTTTGGGGTTTGTTCTTTTTCCCATTTTTAGTCAACATGGGGAGAGAAGGGGTACTTGAGCCTTTTCTTGCAGTCAAAAAAGAACGTATTTGTACAATTGTGTTTTTTTTTTCAATAAAACTTTTCCAAGGAGATTTTGTTGAAGCTTGCGGGGGAGGGCTGAATTAGGAGGTTCGCACATCAGTCTTGCCCAGTCCAAGGTCTCCTGTGCAACATGGCCATGGCGTGCTGCTGGGAGAGGCAGCTGCAGGGTCTGGGCCACATTGCCAGCCCCGGGGTCCAGGGTGGCTGGATCCTGCTGGGTGGAGCCCCAGGCTGGCCCTTTTCTGGTCCCAGGGCCTGGGGTGTTAACCCAGGCGGAGTGTATGTGCTGGGATCCGGAGCAGGGATGTGTGCTGCAGGTTGTGTGTGCTGGTGGGTTTGTAGCAGGGAAGAGGAGGTGCCCAGCACAGCGCTGCCCCACAATCCTGGCTCATCTCATGGGTCCCAGGGGGAGAAAGAGAGAGAGAGAGAGATGTGCAGGATGGGATCCCAGTGACCAGCAAGGCAGAGTAGCAGAGATTTGAGCCCCGTCTCTGCTGCTTGCTGCCAGGGTGGTCTTAGGCCAGACACTCCCTCTCTAGCTCCTCTCTGCCATGGGTCGGGGGGCAGGGAGTGACTGGTTCGGGAAGGACTCAGGCAAGTTCACAGAGTCCACCAAGACGTGAAGCCAGTTGGATCCACTCCCAAGGGGGTTTTGTCTTAAGCCAGAGCTCTGGCTGGCCTGCCTGCTCCCAGAGGCCCTCCCTGAACTCTCGATATAGCCAGCCTCACCTACACCTCTGTTTCTCTTCCAGGATTGCAGGTTGTACTCAGGGCTACAGGATAAGCCGTTGATCCTCCCAGTTCCCTACCTGTGTCCCCACCTAGAATGGTAGCATGAGGAGACAGAGGAAGGGCCTGGGCACTAGGATGCAAAAGAAAAAATCATGAGTGGGAGACCGAGGAAGGCTTCCAGGAAGAGGAGACATGGACTGTGAAGTGGTCTTACTCATAGGTACAGCTCGGAGAGATTGGAACAGAACCCAGGCCTCCTGACCTTGGAAATTACACAGCTCTCCCTGCTGATGGGAGAGGGCAGTGAAGTACAGCAGGTCTGGAAGTGGAACTGAGGCAGGGTCCAGAGGCCACGTTTTAGCAGCCTAGTCCATAGGGGACAGGAGGCGAGAGCACCGTGCTCCCAGCCCACATGCATTCCCCTGCACCACCAGCCATAGTAGGAGATGGAGTTGCTGGTGTGAGGGTGGCAGTGCCTGTGGCAGAGGTGAGCTAAACAGGTGATATGAGCCAGAGATGTCCAGCCACTGTTCCCCCTTGGGTACATCGAAACACTATATGGTGTTTTCCTGCCACCTAGAGGCTGTTGTTAGCATTACCCTGTTGAAGTCTCCAAGAGGAACGCCTGTTGACTTCTGAGTCCTAGCTGTGGATAGACGAGATGAACCTCCTGTGAATCTGCCCTAGGCTTGCACCTGCCATGTGTGATCTCATTTAGCCCCCAGGGCTCCTCCTTCAGGAGCAGCTATTACTATCCCAAGTTGAAGTTGAGAATACCGGCTCAGTCAACTCCAGGCCTCCCAGCAGGCAGGGCCTGGCCCTCCTGGGGACCCTGGGCTCCTGGCTCTGGAGGACAGCGCCGGAAAGAACAGGTGGAAGGTCTGTGTGTCACAGTTTATGCGGGGAGAGAAAACAGCTGGCTTCTGTGTGAGCCATGCCCCAGCAGCCACTCGCAGACTGTCCCACTCCAGTGTGTCCCTGGAGTCTTGGCACATAGTACTGCCTTAGTGTGCCCTCAAAGGAAGTGGTCTGGCTGGACCCTGCTGGACCTGAGTTCCAGCTCTGGGACTGCCTGTGTGACCCTGGGCCAGTGACAGCCTTTCTGAGCGTCGGCGGCAAGATGGAAGTAACACCTGTACCCTCTTTGGACGGGTGTTATGTGACGATAGGGAGGGTCACTCATGTGCGTGGCTGCTAGTATGTAGCTGTAACATTAGCTACTGAGAAGAGGAGGCGGGTTCGGCAGGACTGGGACTTGAGCCCATGTCCTTGTGACGCCAAGCTGCAGCACCTTGGTGGCTAGGAGACTGCTGGAAACGGGTGCTAGAACTGGATGAAAAGGACAAGAAAATCCAGAGGAGAGGGGCAGCTGGATGGGCTGAAGGAGCTGGGTGCCTGCTCCAGGGAAGGGGTGCATGGCTCCGAGGAGGGCTGAAGGAGAGACCCCAGGGTGGGGCAGGAGCAAGCTGACACAGCCCCTCAGCCCCTCCAGCTCCTACCACCTGCTTTCCTGCCACTGTCCTGCCCCTGCAGCCCCCTTGGCACTTCCTTTCTCCCCTCCTCCCTCTTGCTTCCCTGCCTGCTGTCCTTGTCCTTCAAGGCCTGTCTCAAAGGTCTTGGCCTCCCCCAGGGAATCTTGGGGGCCCCTGGACCCAGCACTCTGCAGCAGGACCTGTGAGCACTGCTATTGCATACACCGCGTGTTGGAGGCGTGCTCCATCCTCTTTTCTGGCTGCCGTCTTCCTTCTTGGTGTGGTCTGGGAGTGTCTGACGATAACAGAAGTTGTGACCCCAGTCCACATGAGCCAAAGCTGCTGGCACTCTGGGCTCATACCATGATTAAATCCTTAGTTTTCGGGGTCATACGTGGAATTCACAGCCTGTGGAATGCAGCTCACGATGGCCCACGGAGCCAAGTGGAAAATTCTGTCTTCTCTTCTGTACCAGAAGCTGTGACTTTGGAAGGGTAAATCACCCACATTTGTGCTGCCTTCAAAGACTCAAAGATGCAGGCGTGGTTTCTGCTGTCGCCTCTGAGCTCAGTGGCATGCCTGTGCACCAGCACATTCTCATTGGCTTGCTGAGATGGTCACTTCTGGGACGGATGCCATTCTGGCTGTGGCCTTTTCTTGGCACCACATCTGCCATTTTTGGTCTCTTGGTATGAAACTGGCTGGTGTTTTCTCTTGCTCTCTCTCCTCTCTTCTTTTTATTGGGGTCCCCAAGAAGTTTGCCTTGTCTCAGAGGGGACAGCAGTACCCCTGCCCGTCTGGTTAGTCTGTGGGGATTCTGCTGTTGCTCCACACACCCTGGGGCAACAGGCTTATCTGCTGTGCTGGTTTGTCACATTGCTAGGCTTGCAAGAGTGTGATGCAAGCAGTAATGAGATTTCAATGTGCATGATAATGAGAACAAAATCCCCCCAGAATGCAGGGTCTGCTCTCCCAGTGATGCGTCTGGGTGTTCAGTGATCTTAACCTGGGGTTCAGAGCAAAAGCATCTTCCAGGCTGAAGGCCAGCAGCTCAACTCCACAACCCTGCTGGCTCAGCCAGTCCAGAGACAGTGAGAATGTGGGCATCAGAGGTCACTGTGTCTATGCGTAGGAAACCCAGGCTGAAGTCTCACCATGCCATGTCTAGGATTTGGGCACAAAGCCGGGTGCTCCCTGGCAAGCAGCTTTGTTCCTCTGGGGAGGAGCCCTTGGTCCCCGGCTGCACCCAGCTGAGACGGTCCAAGGACTAGGGCTGTAATTAACGACTGTTCCACACGCTGTTCTTTCCCAGGAGCGGCTGAGTGGACTTCTTGCTCGTAGTGGCTAACTGGGAAGGCTGAGTCACTGCTGGGCTGGGGCACCGCCCTGGATCTCTCCCCTTCTGGAGAGCTCCCTTCCGCTGGAGTTGGGCTCTGGTTTCTTCTGCCCCCGACTTGGAAATTGCCAAGATCACTAGTGATTTCTTAATGATTGGGCTGATGAACACCTCAAAATATTGACTTTAGGAATTTAAAAAATAGATATAGGTACTTTAGGTGACCACAACAGCTGGAGTTGAGCTGATCTGAAGCCGGGAGCTTCTTCCAGGTCTCCTATGTGGGTGCAGGGTTCCAAGGCTTTGGGCTGTCCATGACTGCTTTCCTAGGCCACAGTCAGGGAGCCAGATGGGAAGCAGGCCTGTCCGGACATGAACCGAAGCCCATATGGGATCCCAGCACGTGCAGGCAAGGACTTTAGCCACTAGGCTACCACACCAGACCCTGACTTTAGGAATTTAAAAGAGCAGAGTAGTGGAGTGAACATTCTGACACTCTCACGCCACTGAGTGTTGCAGTCACGTGTATCTGTGGGACTCCAGGCATGTGGCAGGTCCACTCCTGACGTTTCCCTCAAGGGGAGGCTTTTTCCAGTCCTCGGCCGGCTCCACAGAGGAAGGCCCTCCTTCCTCTGCCACCCTGACAGTGTTGGGCTCTGCCCTGGATCCTCCCTGCGCTCTTCCTGGGGAACTCTACCTCCTTGATGGTCACACACACCCTTGAGATTGGTGACCCACCCCCACCCCACCTTCGGTTCAGCCCCTCTTCCAGATTCAGATCCCTGTGGCCAGCAGTGCCCTGGATGCCTGTCCTTGCTGTCACACAGGCATTTTCCACTCACCGTGCACCAGACTGTGTCTCTTCTCCTGCCCAAACCAGTTGTTAGCTGCTTTTCCATTCAGCAACCATTGATCAGATACCCATTGGGTGTGTAAGAAAATGCTCGATGCTTTAGAAGAAGCAAGAGAAAAAGACACACTGCTGTAGTGAAAAAGACACACTAACAAGGGTTGGCAAAAATTTAGAAAAATGGCAACCCTCATCCATTGCTGGTGGAGATGCAGTCCTGGACCCTGGACCCAAGCCATGGACCCTGGTCAACTGGATGGCCCCATGAAAGGTGGGCTGCTTTGATGGATGATTAGCATGGGGACTGAAGGGTCAGGGAGGGCCAGGAGCTGGGGGCTGGGCTGCAGGGCCTCCTGGGCAAGGGTTCAGAGTGGATGGCTGTAGGAGTTGCTGGCATAAACACAGCCACACTGGGCTTCCCAGCCAAGCCCAAAGTGGAGGCAGGGAGCTAGAATGTTCATGCCTTCTCTTGAAGTTGATCCAGGCCTCCAGGGATGGTGACCAGCCCCCAGTCAGGGCGAGGTCTGAGAAAATGACTCAGGCCAGCCTTCCTGCCAGCCCCAGCCACAAGATGCCTGGGGCTCTAGTCGTACCCAGGGTGATGTCTCAGAATAAAGAAATGTGGCATCTCTCCTGGGTCGAGTGCTGTGGTATCTATACCGATTTATGAATTGGGTCATGTGTGAAGAGGAGAGAGAGAAAGAGAGTGAGACAGAGAGAGAGAGACCCTCTCTGGTCGTCCAGCAGCAGGATTGGACAGGTCCCAGGGAGAGCCTGGAAGGGATGGGGGAAGGTTGGTGCACATGCGTATTGCCACGCCTCTCACCTTTTCCCCAGAGAAGCGAGTCACCTTGCGATAGACCCCACAAGGTGCCTCTCCACTCCTAGCAGGGGCCAACCCTGCCCCTCCACCCACGCTGCCCTAGGTGGCCCGACTTGGGACCTCTCAGAGCCAGGAAGGAAGCAACACGCCCTCCTTGGCCGGGATCAGCCACCAGGGGCTGCCTGCGAGGCCTTGGCCCAGCGCTCTGTGAGTTCTGCATGGCGCCCCCGCCTTAGTGTGTCCCCAGCCACCAAGGCCTCACCCCAAGGAGAGGAACGGGAAGAAGCATGGGGACGACAGGGATGATGGGGACGACAGGGATGATGGTGCCGGAGGGTCGGGCGCCCAGGACTTTGGACCCAGAGTCAGGCTCATTGCCTGCCAGTGCCTGCCCCACAGTGGGGACTGAGCACAGTGGGTGCCCTCTCTAGGCAGGGTAGTGGGGAAGGTTGCATTCCTTGCAGCTGAGAGCTCTGCCTTGGGACTGTAGTGCGCCTTGGGCTGGAGGCTTTCTACCTCAGGACTGTGATTGTGAACAAAGGAGGACCCAGAGAAAGCAGAGGCTCCCTGTTCTACCGCTACCCCCGGGGTCCTCAGCTCTCACTGCCTGGCCCCCGCCCCTGGCGCCACAGGCTCCGGCCTTCCTGCTGCTTCCTCTGGCAGCACCCAGAGCAGTTAAGTTGGGGCCCCAGACCCTGCTTTGGCCTGCTGTCTCCCAGGGGCTGGTCTAAGGGCCAGTGGCCTCCTGGACAGGGAGAGGACCCTGTTAACATCCCAGGGATGCCTGGCCTGGGGGATGTGTGTGTGTCCTGAGGCTGCTGTGGTATGCAGAGGAAGGACAGAAGGCAGCAGGGAGTGGTCCCTACACAGCCTCAGCCTTGACAAGGTTTTGTCATCAGGTGCCTGGCCTCAGGAATTCACTGACAGCTGGCTCTGAGGGCTACTGGCGTGCTGGGCTGGTGAGAGAGCTGGCCGTGTGTGTACACATGTGTGTGTCTGTGTGTGTGTGGGAGGTTAAGGTGGGTGGCTTCTGAAATCAGAACATCCCAGAACTGTAGCGGATGAGGTGTGGAGGCAGCTTGGATCCAGTTGGAAGGAAACTATGCCATTTGCACATCCATGATGTGTGAATATAGAATGTAGCATGCCTGCTTTTGCATGTACATGGCATGCGCGCGCACACACACACACATCTGAGCCAGGGGGGACCAGTTTTATTAGATTCCAGCAGCACTATATGGTACACGTTTCATGCAGCGTGAATAGGAGCCTTCCCTGCCAGCTCTGTCAGCAGCCCATCGAGGGGCGGGCGTTAAGGGGAGCCTTCCACATATTCCGCGTGAGGGACAGTAGGGATCATGACTGGGGGTGGAGGTGTGACTGTGGACAGTGGAGGGCCCCTGGCACCTTGAATCTTCAGAGGTTCGGGAGCCATAGGACCTGGGTCCTTGGCTGTTGTTGGCACCAGCGGCGCTTGAGCCTTCAGAGGCACCATGACTAGGGGCACGTGATTCTTAGCAGCCTCGGGGGCCACGTCACCTGCATCCTTGACTAGCACTGTGTTGCTGGGGGCTTGAGTCTTTGCAGCCTCGGCGGCTGTGGGGCCCAGGTCCTTGACTAGTGCTGTGATGCTGCCCTGCTTCTCCACTGCAGCTGGGGCCTTTGACTGCTCCAGGGCGCCTCCTCCCCAGTCCTGGACTGGCTCTGGGACCAGTGGACCTCGCTCTGTCGCAGGCTTAGGGGCCGTGGGGTCTTCTGCCTTCATGGGTGCTGGGACCATGGCACTTGGAGCCCTCAGATTCCCGGGGACTGGGGGTTCTTGATTCTTGAGGGTTGTTGCAGTCACGAGACCCTGACCTGGAACGAGGTCTGGAACTGCAGGACCCTGGTTCTTCCTGGGCTCAGGGGCCAGGGATCCTAGATCCTTTGGTGGCTGTGACACATCGGAGCTCTGGTCTGTGGCTCCTGCTGGAACCATTGGACTGATGTTCTTTGGAGGCACTGGGACTGAGGGACCTGGGTCCTTGCCTGGTGCTGGGGCTGTGGGACCTTGATCCTTGCCCGGTAGTGGGACTGAGGGACCTAGGTCCTTGCTCGGGACTGGGGCTGCAGAGCCTTGACCCTTGCCCGGTGCTGGGGCTGCAGGGCCTTGATCCTTGCCCGGTGCTGGAGCTGCGGGGCCTTGATCCTTGCCCGGTGCTGGGGTTGCAGAGCCTTGATCCTTGCCCGGTGCTGGGGCTGTGGGGCCTTGATCCTTGCCCGGTGCTGGGGCTGCGGGGCCTTGATCCTTGCCCGGTGCTGGGGTTGCAGAGCCTTGATCTTTGCCCAGTACTGGGGCCACGGGGCCTTGAACCTTCGGAGGCTCTTGGGCCACCAGACTTTGATCTTTCAGGACTCCTAGAACCACAGGACCTTGATCTTTGTCTGGCTCTATGGCTATGGGACCTTGATTCTTACTTGTGGCATCACCAGCAGGTTGGACCAGGCTCCTGCAAAGGAGAGAGAGAGGCTGTCACTGTGAAGGCAGAGCCGGGGCCAGGGACAGGGCAGAGCACAGATTGCCTGAGATGTCTTGGCCTATGGGAGCCTGGGGCAGGGATAGGCTGGGGGCAGGGTGAGGGAAGGGAAGTGGGATGGACAGCGTGTGCTGCAGAACCAGAAAGGGGACCTGCTTTCTGTAGGCTTAGTACAGAAAGTGGGATGGGGTGAGGGGGCAGGTTCAGGAAGCGCTCATTCAATGTGTTTGCCAATTGATTATAACCTGCATGTGGCACGGGGCTGGGAAGGAGAGGGGTGACAACCTGGTGGTGATGGCAGCATAGCACCTGGCCTCAGAGGCATGCAAGGGGCACTCCACCCAGGGCCCTACTAACCCTGTAAGATTGCTGGGTCTGTACTGTGAACCCCATCTTAGCTGTTCACTCTGATGACCCCACAGGCCAGGCTGCTATTTTCCTTGTCCTCAGGGATTTCTAATTAGCTTTCCTCTCCTAGGGCTCCTTGTGAAAGGGTGAGAATCCACATCATACAAGGAGGGGCGGGCCAAGGGGGCATGTCCTCCTTCTTCCCCCTGCCCCCTGCAAGGGGGAAGGATATTCCATCAGTGATGTACAGAGGGCTGGCACACTAAGCAGCTGACTGGCTTGTTCTGTGCTTCATGACTGCTTGTAATGTCTCCACGGACAGCACACTTCAGTATTTCTTGCAGCACTTCCCCATCTATGTTGGACGCCTGGCTAGAAATGTCCCACTTGGTGCAAGGCCCTAGTCCTTCCCTCCACCCTGCAGCCTATTCCCTCTCCTCTCCCCACGCCCTTGCTTCTCCACATCTTCACAGGGTCTTGGGTTTCTTTTACTGTGGCCAGGAGAGCCAGCCTCTCACCATTCATCTCTCACACTCCAGCCACGAGGCCCGGCCCTCTGTGGCACGCATGTAACACAGTCCTGACAGCCAGGGGCAGGCACGGCATGCTCAGACCCACCCATTTGGAGCCCCCTGGTTTCCAGTGCACCTCTTTGCCCTGTAGGTCAGGCTGAAAGTCAGCACTCAAGAATGGCCTGGCTTATCACAAGCGCTGGGACATCCTAGGCATAGTCTGTTTTCCATGCCTGTCCTTTTCATAGCACACATCAGCAATCCAGCAGCCCTGAGAGGCAAATGGAAGGCATGCTGTGACCCCCAACCCTTACGCTGGTAGACGCAGAAACCTGGGCCCCGGAGAGGGCAGGTGGCATGAAGGTGAGGGAGAGCTACAGTGATGACAGTCTGGGTCTCTGTCACCTGCATCTGCACTCTTTCCCCTAGGGTCCCAGCTTACATACATGCTCAACTAAAGTGTCTGGGACATTGCTACACCCGGTGGCAATGCCATCCATCTGCTTCACACCCTTTGAGCATTATTACTGTTGTGGGCAGGAGCTGGACCCTGCAAGCTGCAGCATGACAGCTGCTTGGGAACACGTTCTTAGCTTTTATTTCTTTGGGCCCTGAGTTTGCCGTGTGTTCACTAGGTAACAGCGACATTTGCTCAGATGATCAGAGGCCATGTACCTAAAGCCCACTCAACCAGAAGGGTGTTTATGACCAGTTTACTCAGAAGTAAATGACAGATTTCTCCCCGCCGCCCCCCAACTAGTTCATCATTCTAGTCCACTCAGAGCTGTGTCCTGTAGCTGGTACCCTGAACCCCCCAGGGCCCAGTGGCATGGGCAGTCTGTCCTTCTAGCTGCCTTGCTGTTGCTGAGCATCACAGAGGCTAGGGATATGATTAGACAGCCCCCGCCCCCGGCCTAGGCTTACCACAATGCGGAGCAAAGCTGCCCCGGCCAGAAGGCTAGAAACTGGCTGCTGAGGAGAGAGCCAGGCCAGGCTGGGGAAAGTATGCAGAGACCAACAATGACCAACAATGATCTTTGGGCCTGGGTAGCAGCTGGCCAGAGTGGTAAGGTTAAAGCCAGATCAGGACAGAATTGAACAGAAAAATCAGTTGGCTGTATTCTCTTGAGTTAGGAGCTGAGCTGGCTGAGGCCATCCTGATAGGGCAGAAAAATGTGAGCGAGGCTTAACTCACTCTCAGGTGCCTGGGCTGCAGCCCCCACCTCAAGGGAAAGACTTGGGAACAGAGCACCCCATGGGCAGGAGAAGCACGATGAAGATCAGCCCAGGGCCTGGGTTGGGAGACCCTGAGTGTGCATGGTACTGGCTCACGCTCCAGGCCCTAAATTCTTACTGAATAAGCCAGCTGTGAGCCCATCCCAAATATGAGTGACTATGTAAGCCAATACTGCTTTGCCTAGTTATTGAGGCCATTTGGGGAGTGAGCCAGTAGATGGAAAAGCTGTCTCTCTCTGTCTTTCAAACAAGCAAGGCTTTAAAAATGGGGGGTAATGGAATAAGTAAGTTAGACCTACAATCTATTTTATTTCTTATTGTCCTTTTACTCACCCCCCCCCTTTTTAAATGAAGAAGTTTGCAAAGCATAAAGGGGACAGGAAACAACTTAATGAAAGCCCTCCTAGGTGTGTCACTTGTGACACAGACCTGAGCACGTGCCTCTATGTTTTGTCACAATAGCTGGGGTGACAGGCTTTGCTGGGCAGTGAGCTGGCCTGGGGACAGTGTCAGGTCAATAATATAGCATCTTGCCAGCAAGCAGCATGTGTAGACAGAGAGCTGTGGTGCTTGGAAAAGCAAAGTCAAGCTTGTGCTTCTTGGGTCTGCCTGTTATCCTGGGAAAGGCAGACGAGAGCAAAGCCATCCTGTATCAGCCTGGATGGACAGAGGGCAGCATCATGTGCTTGAATGGAACAGGCAGCTGGAGCCTAAAGGGTGCCCGTGGGAGAAGAGGCTTTGGGCTGGGCTCATGCCCCTGACCATGGCATGGTGGTGGGGCAGTTTCCTACCCAGCCTTGGGCCAGTTGCTAAATCCACTGAATTCATCTACAATCTACAGTGGAAAAATACAAGATGGCATCATGCCTTCTGTAAGCAATGATGGGACTTGCACAACAACCCTAGAAGTTACCATGTTCTTAATGCTTGTTCTACATGACTTCTACATAGGGGAGCTGAGATATAAATTTTATCAGATTTGGAGGGAAACTTTTGCAAAGCAACCACTCACTCACTTCTAAAGCCGAAGTAGTCCCTGGAATTTTTAAAAATTTCTGGGCACAAAGCTGCCCAAGGCAGGAGAAAGCCTTCCCTGAGGCTCAATGTCCATCCCATGGTCCTGTGGGCACTGCTGGTCTCACTGTGAAATGCACCTTCCCAGAGCCCATGAGGCTGCTGTCTGAGGCTTGCTTGGACAGCATTTGTCACAGGGCCCTGCTACCTCCCAACCTGAGTGCACCCCAAAATCCCTAACCTCCCAGGAGCTAGAAAAATCTGCAGGGCTTAGCTTGGCTTCTGTGTTGCTAGTTGCCCAAGAGATCTTGGGGAACCAGTTGACCACAGAAACCTCAGCTTCTCTGTGAAGTGGGGAAGACAATACAAATGTCCTACCAAGGAGGATCTGCAGTATCAGCCTCACAGCGTCTGGCAAAAGGCAGGTGGTCTCCCGAGACCCCTCCTTGCACTGTCCTTGTGTGCCGCTTTGTGTCTGCCCTTACCCCATCTCAATGCTGGGCTACCTTCCTGCTGCCTGGATGCTTCTCCCAGCACTCTTCTCTGCAGAAGCCCTGCCCATCCTTGGTGGCTCAGCTCAGAACCCTCTCCTCCCTCCCCTCGATTATGTTTTGTTCTCCCTTGCAGCATGATTTTATAGTCACTCTTGGCCATATTCATGGAACTCCTGATTGCACAGTGGGTTCCCCCATGAAACCAGAAATGCCCTGAAGGCAGGGTTACCCTCCTCCCAATGCCATCAGAAGACAGCAGGTCCCCAAGCAAAGATGAAGACTCCTTGCCAAAACCTGACTCACGCTCAATTCCATGGCCCCAACCAGAAATTCCAGAGCCATGCAATACATCCCTCCCCCTCAACAGCCTCATTCATCCTTCATGGCTCAGCTATTTCTTCTCCTAGTATTCGTTTCTTGACCCTCCCTCCTTCCTCCTCGCCCTTCCTCTACCACCTGCTATGCCACTGCTGCCGTCATCCAAATTGGTGCCCCCTGCTTTCTCCAACCCATCCCCTCACAGAAATCAAACTCTAAGAGCACAAACCCAATCCCTGCTGATAACCCTCCTGTGGCTGCTCCTTGACCTAAGAGTGAAGAGCAAAACCTGTTACACCACTCGGATCACTAAGCGGCTTGCCCGGCGCCACCATCTACACTCATGCCCAGCTTTCGGCCACTGCTCCTCAGCATTGCCCTCCTCCTTCCCACTGCACAGCTGTCCTGCGTGCTGTCATCTCCTGGAACAGTCATGGCTTCCTCTTAACCTGGCCTTGCTCATCCTCCATCCGTTGCCTGGATTGGAGGTGGGAAGCCTTCCATGGCCCCTCAGTCATGGTCAAGGGCCCTGCTACTGGCTCTCCTTTATCTTAGCTAAGTGCTTGGGTTCTATTGGATCAAGGTCTCACCCACTAGAGGGGC